CGACGATCCAAAAAAAGAGAAAAGTGCCGATTATCGTTGAAGTGTGTAGTAGGAACGCTTTATATTTTTTGTCCCTTTTTGTCACCATTTATCCGGCTTTTCCAACATCTTATCAGATTTTGCTAAAATTTCAGGATGGGTATAATTGATTCAAGGGACAGAGAGCTCGTCTCCCAATGAGGTGAATCCAGGTTCAAATCCCTGCGATGGCTGGTCGATACAAATTCTGCACCCGGCTCTTATCCACCACAGTGCTGACATGAAAATATCATTAGTGATAAGCTGATCATGGGTTAAAGTCCCCTTGTAGTCGGGTACTGTCGCGTATTTTCCTCTACATGTAACACAAATACGGATTAGTTCGATCAAAAAGTCTCCATGAAGGCAAATTTCACGCAATACTTGATCCAGGAGTTCCCTTGCCTTCTGGATTGGTTTCAAAATTACAAAGGTATGGAGATGAATATTGGTAGTCATGAACTCAAAATTGAGTAGGTTGTTCAATGAAAGTTATAAAATATAAAATAAAAAAGGTACGTATATGGTAATGCTATTTGTTTGCACATCCTGCTTGGCATATGTAAGGGTACGCAATCATAATTTTCATTTAAACCGGGCATGATGGGAAAAATTTTTATTACCCTGATACAAATTAGAAAATACGCTAATGATATTTCCAGAAACATTTTCATGCATGCATTGTAGTTTGCAAGTGTAATTTTTTTTGGCATGCAATTCTCCCCGTATCAACCTGGAACTCAAATACAACCCATTTTTGTAAACAAATTCTCTTACATGCCATATTTAAAATATTATTTACATCCATTGGTATAAACTTTTAAACTGTATATAGCAAATTTCAATACTCAATGCATATGATCTATATCCATCATCTTTACTCGTATTTAAAATAAAGATAATTTCTAAATGGTATTTCATAACAAATAAAGCAAAACGTTTTCAGAATTTATTTTACATTTACATACAATTTACTTTATGCACGAAGCAGGAAAAGCCAAATTTGTAATTTTACTTGTGATATTAAATTTTATATTAATCTAGGAGAATCTAGTAAAAAGAATACTCTGAGTCTTTTAGGTAACAATGTTGCTAAAATACTTATGTAGATAGCGAGTAAAACCAATGATGTCCCAATTTCAGGTGTATGTTTGTAGAATTATTTTGTTTTATGATGGGTTTGTCTTTGATATAAAAAAAAACATATAAATTTTCTGCTTGTCCAGTTCAGAAAAAGCGACTGCATACTGAGAAATTCACTCGTACGGAAACTTACGCAAATTACATTCAATGAAAATGTGCAAAATTAATCTAATTAAACTTTAAAAAAATATGCTCTTAGGTTCGTTTTGTATTTACAAAATTTAATGAATGAATTTCACATTAAAGTAAACAAGTAATTTTACGAACCGCTTGCTAATAAATGGTAGGAACCGCTTGCAAAATAAACTTTCCTACTCACTATTTCTTTCTCTCAAACAAGTTTCGTTAACCAATGCTATCTCAACTTCTCTAATATCAATTTCAACACATAAATCTGCAACTCATATTTAATTGCTTTCTAACTAGATACACATGGTCACTTATTTTGCCTGACCTTTAACTTCATTTTATTTTATCACGACATTATTAAGTAACATAGAAATTGAAACTGTACCATGACATTTCAATTCCATAGCCTTTTAATTTGGAATGGGGTTCAGAAAAATAAAGAACTTAATGGATCAAGCATTATATAAACTCAGTTTCGTATAGGAATTGTTTGAAGAAAAATCAACGCAATTTTATGACATTTAAGTAAAAGCCAAGAAAGCATCCCCCGGGGTTAGAACTAGAGGAATATGGCACAAGATCCAAAGGAGTTTAACAGGAATTTAATGGTACAAGATCCAAAGGAGGATATGCTGCCCCAAACAATACGATAAGGTAGATCAAAAGGTAGAATACACACTACAATTTTATCTTCATAAATGCATAAATCTAATAAAATAGTTAATAGTAAGACAAATATATTTAAAAGTTAATAAGATCTGAAAAAAAGCATAATTGCACAAAACAGTCGAAATAAGTAAAAGTGTATATAGGTAATAAATTAAAGTGAATAATTTAAGATAAATCAGTTATATGCAATATAAAACACAAATAGCTCGCAAAAACGCGAAAATGTTCGGATAATGAATTTCTTCAAAGAAACCCTACATATATTAAATAGAAACTGTTTAAAAAGGTAAGATGATGTTGGTTCAAACAGAGACAAATGGTTAAAATGTGATGAAGCGTAATCAATACGTCGTAAATTTCACATTCGGGATTCTATGATATCCGCTGTCCTACGAACAGCAAATAGAAATGGATAAGAGTGTGGCCAATTCTGAGACGCTTAAGTTTTACCTCTGCAGTTCGTGGACACAAGATTGCTAATTTCAGATCCGCGTACGATTTAAGATGATTTTCATCAAGATTGAAGTAGGTGTGATCTGAATATGTCGAGAATTCGAAGGGCTGCAGAAAGAATTCAAACCTATATCACATCATTGTAAGACCATCGCTCTACCCCTTGTCATCCCATCATACTTCATCTGAATTGACGAGATTTTAAAAAAAAAATCTGGTAAAGTAAATAACAGACGTTACCAAAAGTTTTCCATTGCGTGTCATTTTAGAGGTGTTTCAGCGCAGATTAAGCAATTCGGCAACTAAGCGAACATCAAAGAATTATATCGTTGATTATTATTAAAGTTAATAACAACTTACTCCACTTATCGAAAACCAGATACCGAAAGAACAAGAAATTTAGTTAGGAACAATAAAATTTAAATGCTATCAACCAAATCACTTGTAATACACACAGTATTTTATGTGGCTGCCTTGTTATGCTGCAAAGTAGTGACAACTCAAATACTGAAATGAGTAGTTGTCTTCAAACAATAATTAAATTTTTGCTTTTGAAAAAACTATTAATTTGGAAAACAATTAATCAAAAATCTAAAAATCAAGATAGTTAGATTGTTCAGAGCGTCAACGAAAGGCTGTCTAAAATCAAATGTGGGCGTAGGCTAATAAAAAGGTATCTCATAATCTTCTCTAATATTATGTTTATTCTTTTTTGATAATTGTTTTCTTAAAATGGTAATATAATATATTTCAGTTTGTTATGCTTACTTCGAATTTATAAATGATATTATACTCATGGCAGCAAAAAGCGCGAAATATTTCTGGTTCATACTGAACCTGGTTGACTGGATTGTTGAAGTTTACCCATTTATTTTTAGTTAAATCACTAAATAAGTAACAAAAAAGAGAAATACGCAAAAAAAATAAAATTTTGGCAATCCCTTGAAATGTTTCTTAAAAGCACAATTTAGCAATATATTAATTTGAGATGAATGATTTTACAATCAAACAATAGCCTTAAGTACCCAAATACCTTCGGAGAAAAAAAATTTTAATTTTAATTTAGAAATTTTTTATTTAGATTTATGCGGACATTATGCACTAAAACATGGTGTAAATAAAATGAAATAAATGAAAAAAAATGACGAAAAAGGGGAAAAACTGGTTTTAGAAAAACTAAAAATTGACCTTTTCCCACAATCACATAACTTTGTTAACATTTATCATTTATTATTTTTCATTATCCTTGCTTTATAATACTCATAAAAATTTGAAATTAATTTTAAGGAAAAGTCTAAACATTAGATATAATATTATTATTTAAAAATTTTACAGCAAAAATATAGAAACTTAATAGGCAAAAATATCTAAAAATTACGATTAAATATTTTAATTTAAACTGACAAATATAAAAAATTTTATAATCCACTAGTCCGTAGTCTGACTTCCAGATACATGTATAGAAAAGATTCATGCAGAATTCCAGGAAAATTTAAACTAAAATATTTTAAGATATTGCCTTCTAAATAAAGAAGAGTAACCGAAAAATTAATTTTGAAAAAAGTATTAAAAAAAAACACAGTTATCAATTCAATAACTAGTATAATTTTTTCAAATAACATAATTTTTTTTCTGTTTGAGGTAGAAATGAAACTCAAACGATTTTTTAAAGAAAAAAGTTTATAGTTTTAGATATAAAAAAGCAGAAAAAGGAAATTTTGGTATAACTCTATACTCAATTAAAAGTAACTATGCTAAAATGTTAAATTACTAATTAACTATGCTGAAATTTCGAAAAAAAATTAAAAGAATTTTTAATTAAAACAATAAAAATTTAATTAAAGGTGTTACTTTATAAACTTAATATTTAAAGTAGATATTTATGAAACCGATAGTTACACCCAAGTATCTTCAATGTACAATTAAACTTAAAAGATGACATAAAAATGGCGTCTGTTCAGACAAAGTTTAAAAAGTAATTTTGAAAAATATTTTCTAAATAAAGGAAATGATAGGGAAAAAAATTTGTCTATTTTGCAACCTTTTGTGAAAACTCACAAAACATTTGGTCAATTGCAAATTTTTCACCTTAAGGAATGTCGATTCTTCTTAAGGAATGTCGATAAAATATTTTTGTCTTTAATTCTTTTTTAAAATGAATTCAATGCACACTATACATTCCCCTAAATATTATATAAAAAATATATTTCATCAGCATACGATTAAACTTAAAACTTGACATAAAACTGATTTTTATTAGACAAAGTTTTAAAAAGTAATTTAAAAAAATATTTCTCAAAAAAAGGAATGATAGGGCAATAATTTTATTGTCTACCTTGAAATCTTTAATGAAAACTCACAAAACACTTGCTAAATTACAAATTCTTAATCACACCTTCATAGATATTTTAAGCAATGCCAATATAATATATTTTTTTGTCTTCAAATAATTATTTTTTAAATTGAATCCAAAACACGTTAGACATTCCCACAAATATTATAAAAAAAGGATTAACACACGTAATAATAAATGTATATTATTTCGCAAAACTTTACAATATATGTATCAAAATTGATAAAATCATTACCTGTACTAGGCTCGGTGCATCCCACCTGCATCACAACGCAAATCATTACTATTCCAACACAATAAATCATTTTTATCGAAAAAATAAATATAAATTCTCCAACAGCAATGACAGTTACCAAGCAATTAAAAACCCTTCAATGTCGGAGCAGACATATTTTTCATCATCAATTTATCAATATTGGAAATTGTATTTATGATACTGAGAGAAATATTTAATATGCGGCTCGAGATCTGCGATCCACGTTGAAATGAAACGCTCTCCGATCTGCAGAAGTGCGTTTGTGCCGAGAGAGGTTTAGAGACTGATGTGTGTGTAGATTCTTCTGTTGATTTGAGGTGCAGGGGAAAGGGGGTTTCTGAGTGGGGTGGTGGAAGTTTCGATCTTCCTTTGATGGGGTGGGAAGTTAAAGAGTTAGATAAGCATTTAACTTAGTTTTGAAGCATCTGTGAGGGAGTGTTTTTTTTTAAAGGACTGATTTAAAATGCCATCAACTCGAGCATTAAAATACTTATTTTTTACTTAATATCCTTATCATTCTATTTAAAATAAATGTTTTATAATGAGGATTTAAAAATAAGAGAATAAATAGTGGAGATCAAAGTATTCAATTTAAAAAACTTTCAGTTTTTTTAATGCATTTATTTATTTTATTTATTTAATTATTTATTTTTTTGCATATTTTAACATTTATGCAAAAAAAATATCACTCTTATTTTAGGGAGCAAATCCAACTTCCTTTAAAAATAAAACCTTTTCTAAAAAGAAAAAAAAAATTTGCTTTTCTAACCGCTCAAGGACCATAGTCTTACCTCTATTCAACGTGTTTCAAAACTAATTTAAAATGATTAATGAATGACAAAATAAATGAGACAAACTAATTCACAAATATAATTGCGGTTAGAAATATTTGCTATTTTTATTATAAAAGTGTCTCAAATATGTAAATTCTGATATCTATTAGGAGGCCTAAATTTTCTAAGCTCTTGGCTCAAAAATAAGACTGATTGGAAAGTTCAAGAGTCAGCATGGCTTAAAATATTCGCGAAACAATGCTAAAAATAACAGTGGTATCTAAATAAAGAACGAAAATAAATTGAAAGTATAAGATAGTGTAGTAAATTTCAGTTTTATTTAAACAAAATTTTTGTCTTCAAAATAATTTTATGAGGGTGCAAAATTATTATAAATTAAAGTGATTTTTAATCTCATTGACAAGAAGAAATTGAGGTAATAAAAATGAGTTCCTATAAGGCGCAAATGCGTTTATATGACCATACTTAACATTTTGTTTTGATGCGTGGAAACTTAAGCTTGAAATTATGTCAAGTGTGAAGAAAAATTTACAGCGAGTATGATAGAATAAAAGGAAAATAAAATTAAGGAATTATTAACTGATGCAATAAACAATCAAGCCAGACTTTCTGCAAACCAGAAAAACGAAGTAAATAGGTACTGAATGCACCAATCATCTTGATTTGGAGCGTGCAACATCAAATGGGGTGGTTTTTTACCGATTTGAAAATCGTCGGAAAGCTATACCACTTTTAAGTGCTTTTTTCATGAGTATTTTCGTTATTTATGCTTAAAAAAATTACTTCATATGCTTTATTGCAACCTGAGTAAGAAAATTATTAATAAAGTAATAATTTTTGATTTAAGAAAATCAGGATGCTTCTTGCGAATAAGCAGAGATTGGAATATTTTTTTTCAGAGGAAGCAAAATCATAAATCAATTGCGTCTGCCCAGACTATGGCATAGGATTGTTAATTTAGCAGCACCTCTTGTTCTTCAAAGCAACTGCGGATTAGTTCCAAAAATAAAAATTCTTGGAAGAAATGAGTTCATTACAAAACTTGACTCAAGCATTAATTACGTTTCGTGTTTTGTTATTCTTCAAATTTGTAAAATATAAAAGAGTACTTCACTTCCACAAATTTGTTTAATATATATAAAGATAATATATATATANATATATATATATATATAAATAAATAAATACATGAAATGATTGCAAAAATAAAGTTGATGAGTGGGATGAGCAGAGAGTGAAACCTTGAAACCTTGTAGCTAGTACTAACGGTAATTTTTTTGGTACTAAGCACACAATGCTGGTAAAAATAATCTCCAGAAATAATTGGATCAAAGATTTTAGTGTCGTTGTCTTAAGGCAAATTTGGAAATTTTTTGCTAACTCACTCCATATTTCAATTAACTTTCTAATCTTGCAAAAATCTTGCTAATTTAATTTTAAAAGTATATTTTAAGGTGAGTAGGTTTTTGTCAATATGTTTTTCTAATTTCAATGAAACTTTGAGATAAAGGGAAGAAAAAAAAATTGTCACTTTAACATTGGAATTTTTTAACTTAAAATTACTGTTTTATGACGAAAAAGAGATTAGTTTAAAGGAGTCATATTTATTAAAGAGCGATATGAGGAGTCCCCAAGTTAAGAAAAAAAATCTAGTTCCGAATAAAGAGATTTTGCAAAACTTCTAAAGTGAACACTATTTGAGCTTCACAGAGCATGCACAAAAATTTCTCTACTAATTGTGGTGTCACTAAGGAGTAAAAAATAAAGTTACAGTTAAAGCAAAATAAAGTCTACGCAAAATCACTCTGTTATCATTATGGTCACGACAGACCGGAGTGGGCCTTAGTCCTCTTCAGAACTGTTCTTCATGCTATATCGACTCCTTGTCACCAAGTCTTCCCAGTTTTTAAATCCGCATTAGTGGAGTTCAGTTATCGGAGTTTTTTTGACTCTCTGAAGTTAATTTATGTGGGAAAATTTCAGAAGTAGGACTAGTAGTATCTAAAAGCCAAATATACCCAGCAAATTACATTCCATTTAGCTTTATTAATGCAATAAAATAATGAACTCACAAAAGCTCAGGAAATTTACTGAAATATTTCATGAGTTTTCGAAACAAGGGATGTCATAACACAGTAAAGCTGTTACCCTTACGCTCAACCCCCTACCTGACTGACAAGGGTATCTTCACTGTTTCGTGTCTCAATAATGTGAAACATTTTTGATTGGTTTAAAAATTTCTCGTGACATGACGAAATACGCAAAAAGTAAAATTAACATTACATTTCCCCGCTTTTCTAAACTTTTCACCGACGTCCTGACCAAGCTATGAGAACAATGTTTTTCAACTTGCAACTACCTCCACACTTCGAGAGCCAGGATTCCAAATCTTCAAAAAATTTATGCTTATTCAGAGAAAAGGTGTTTTTATTAGCATATTTGAGATCACTAATACTTTAAATTATTAAGTTGAAGTCCTGGAACTTGAAGATCCTATCACTAGATCAAAGGTTATCCTTATTGTTCCGTTTTTTTCTCGATTTTTATTTTTATTTTGTACATGAATAGTAACCCTAAATTGAAAAGGAAAAAAATCATTTTTTCTTCTTTAATTTCGTAAAAAAAACATTTTACGCACAAGCTTTTTATTCTTTTTAATTTTTTTTAAAATTTAATCACAAACAATCGAGAAAAAAATATTTTAAGACACATACTAACTTAAAATATGACTTCAAATATAGAAGAAATATCGAAATCTTGTTTTCCATACTATTTTTAAATAACTCTTGTTTGCATACGCTTCTATGTTATATGTTGTTTTCGAAAATATTGGAAAACATTACAATGTTGAAACAGCTTTGAGTTTGCAAAACAAACAAAACAAATTTGTATGGAATTGGCATCATATTGTTGCCCTTAACAATAAAGATAAATATTTGCATTGAAACTTTCATACGTATCATAAAAATCAATTTATTGATTGAGATCTGTTTTAAAATAAAAATGATACATTTCTCTCTTTAAACTTAAATTGTGTCATAAAAAAAGACAAAATAATGAATGCCAACCGGAGGCAATTTTTTGTAATTTAGGGGCTTGTTAGTGGCAGTTATAACCACTCGGTTGCCGAACAACAAGCAGGATAATTTGATAACATTGCTTGGGTGGAACAAAAGCTATTAATCGATTCTTAATCAGAAAAAAAACGCTTTAACCAATTTCGTTAAATAAATTAAGCTCCTTTATGTTCTTTTAAAAATAATAGTTCTCATGCTAAGAAGTAACTATTAGCTTAATATCTTAGTAATTTATTCTAAGAAAAATATTCCTAAATGTATTTGTATCTGCCTTTAGGTATGTTAAATTAAAAAAAGGCTTATACGAGTTGCTAATGATTGAAACAAATATATAGATAATTAATGAAATTTTAACAATAATACTTATTAATAATAATACATTAATAATTAACTCTTCAGTTACTATCAGATATCCAAGTCTGAAAATGTGGGAAAAATTTCCTTATCTAATATATCTATCAAGAACTGAAAGGCTATTATTTAATTCTTTGCAGTTTACTTTCAAGATAATGTTATCCTCTTAACATTTATTTTCATTATTAACATAAATTTAAATTTATGAAATCAGAAAAGGCTGCATAATTTGTGAAAATATAGTTTTTAAAGTTTATAAAAGAAATGTAAGCATATGGTAATGAATCAAAAGTTTCTGTAATTAAGGATATTTTTAGAATAATGCTTATTTATAATAGCACATTCATATTCAACTCCTCAGTTATCCTTAGATACCTACTTTTAAAACCTTTAAGCAATATGTAAATCTTTCAGTAACTAAAATTACTATAATTTAATCATTTACAACTATTTCCAACAAAATATTTACCCTTTAAAAGTTGTTTTCATCTTCAAATAAATTAATAAATATTACATATTTAAGTAAAAAAATACTTATTAAAATGTAGAATAATTTGAAATATATAAGTACATAGATTAGATATGAAATTTTGCTATTATAAATATTCCGAAATACTTTGAAATCAATCTCACTCCTGCAAAGTCCACTTCAGGAAAAATACCAAGCGTTATTAAAAATTACCAAGATTACACTTTAAGTTATTAAAAAAAATAAAAAGGGCGGGATTGTTGGTATAATATAGTTTCATGTGTCTGATTTATAAAACTAAATTTACATAAATTGTAGAAACTATTTGTTTAAATATAGTTTTAAATATTTCTATACTATTATTTCTTGAAAATAAGGAAAAAATAATTGGCTTAAAACTGTTTGTATTACCCTTTCTGTTTAAGTAGGAAAATTCTTCCTTTATCCTAACATTAGTAGTTTTATTGTTTTTAATTATTACCAATAGTATTTTCTCTCGGAAATGTACTCTCTGCATTCTCTCTGCCGCGAATGTTCTCTATGTAAATATTTTACTGCATTTTAATGCCA